GCAAGGTAACTCTATCAGCTATTGTCTCAAGAATACCGTTGGCATTGCCACGCAGTCAGTTTATCAGGGACACTGTCTTTTTGCTATGGATGGCATGGAACCCATCGGTGTGATAATGTGCAAACAACTGACGCTATCAAAGGATATCAAGCGATATTTTGGAATGGCGCATCCACAAACTTCCCGTGTAGAAACTCTGACAGTATGCTTTAAATAGCATGATTTTTATTTCAATGTTACATCATGACAACCTGCTAATTAAACTCGGACCGCCAGTGCCCTTCGCCTTCTTTCAGTGTCTACATTATACCTAAAGACGTCTGTAAGAATGTCTGTTCTTGTTCTGTATTACGCTTCATGCTTTCACTTCGCGCTTCATGAACTATTTTTAAGGAATTACACGCAAATTATTACGTTTATTGGTAAAGCACTGTATGAAGGCTTCAAAATGACTTACATTTTGTAGAGAAAGTGAAACAAGATGGGAATTATAGGAGTACCATTGTGATTTTTTATGTAGAGAATAATTTCTCATCCGCATTTTGCTTATATGGACATTGTTACTTTATAGAATACATCGAAGTTCTCTTAATTGTTTAATTTATGCACCGTTTTATTTTTTTTTATTTTATTTCTTTTCATGATTACTTATGTCGATCTTTAGTATAAAAACTAACGTATCCTCACCCTTATGTATTTTGAGAACAAAAGCAATCTGTCTGCAATAAACTATCAATCATAGTTTATTTTGAATCAAGTCTTTATAAACGTTTTGAAGATGTTGTACTTAAACCAGGCCAAGTCACGACTTTCGCAGTAAAGGAACGACGCCATCGTGAGCGATTGCAGCCAAATTTATTTCCGTCGGCATAGAAAACAAACCCCCCCCCCCCCAAATGATTAGCAAAAAAAGGTTTACATCGAAAACGTATTAGAGCGGACCCAAATAACTCAAACAGTGCCCGAAACGACGGCAATAAAAAACCTCTTCTACAACTGGCATTGCCCCAAAAACAGGGGCGTGAAATATGCAGGGAGGGTGGCGGGGATGGGGAAAGCGGGGCCATCACTGACGTCACGACTTCGACCCGCCAGACTGCCGCCAAAACCAGTGCCTTCTACCAGTTTGAATCAGACCTCTTGATCAATCGTGCGACATACGTCCGGCTGAATGGATTAGTTCCTTGGTCAATGATAAAAATTTTGTAAATTTGTTTTTAGAACGTTCGCTATTAGTTAGATACTTTTTTGAGTTTGTTTTATTTTGTAAATATGGCTTCTAACTCTAGCGATAATTTCATTTCATTTTATCATATTTTTGGAAGCCGTGGCTAAGGTGAGCTTACAATGCTGTAGTTAGTGTAATGGCTAGTTGGAATGATCAGTTTCATATTACTTTCATTATAATTTTTACGTAGTATTTACACAAGATTACTAACCATGTTCCATTTAATAGACTAGTGATAACAATACTATTGACTTTCTTTTTATAATGACCGTTTTTTATTTTTACAACAATTTATTTTAAATATTTTTTAATTGCATGTTTTGTTTATTTAAATGTAGGTGCAATTAGTCTGCATCTATCTGAGTTTAGGTTGTATATGACCTACAGCCTGGCATGTTGTCTGATTTTATGTGTGTTGTACGTTGCATGCAGTCGGCACGCCTCGCCTGCGTCGACCAATGACAAGCTACAAGCCCTTGGTAAGCAAAAACGCACTTTATTGTTTTATTATTAAAGTTTGCTTTGTTTTTTTAAAGACCGTTTTTGGCAAAGTTCTGGAATATTATACTATACTCAAACATATTCCAATCTAGCCTCTTTAAAAACTTTTCTTCGTTCGTTATAAATACTTTTTACTTGTCTTAATTTTGGATGGCTTTTAAATGTGATTACCGCGAATCACTTTTTATTCTATACGGGTTGGTGCATATCTGACGGAAGATGGGCCGAGTCAGAACAGGCAAATTGTATCTGACATTCGACCTAGAAAACTCTATGTAAATTGTTTACTTCAGTGAGACACTTGACGGTTTTTCCCTTAGATTTGCACCGCCGAATGGACCTTTAATGGACTCTTTGTTTATAATACGGTAAAATAGATACAAGACTGTATCAGTTATACAACTTCAAAATACATTTAGTTTATTTACAAATGACGGTGAGAATTATCTTTAGAAAATTTTGCTTTAGAATATTTAATGGTACTTAATGCATAAATGTCTATATACATTCTGTTGAAAAATCATCTCTAGCAAGCACAGCAACTTATCAATACTATCTTGCTCAAAAAACATTACTCAAGCAATTTACAAACGAAAAATATTACTTTTTATAAATTATCTGTCTCAAATAGGTAATACAACGTCGAATAGTATCGCATGTATTATAGATGTTATCTTCAAGTTTTCTGACCTTTAGGATCTATTGTTAATCCAGTGCTTAAAAACGACGACGCCGACGACGAAAAAATACACGAATAACACCTTTTAATGTTGTTTTACTGAATGCATTAGAATATAAGAAACAAGTTGTTTTCCCGTGACTTTACCTGCGTATGTAACTTCTCATCGTTAAAAGTTTTTTTATTATCGGATTTTTAGTATTTACTAATATTACCCCCTACAAAAAAAGTTTGAAATTTGTAATATTAGGATAGATAAGTAATTTTTTTGCAGTAAATATTATTATTGATGAGTGATGACGGTAAGGGTACAATCACAGTATGAGATTGTACCCTAACATGGACATTGGACAAGTGCAGCACAAGTCGCATGACGAACTCGAGAAGGTTTTGTCTACATCTAAGTGACACTTTTAATCATCTTAACCCGAGAAAAGTGACGTTTGGTATATCAGGGTTTCTTAAGGTTTCCCATAGTAAAAAAGAGATTTTTTATGGTGGGGTACGCGAACCCCTAAGCATACGACATTCGAAGGTAGATGATTCGAAGCAAAACTTACGTAAAATCTCGATGATTTAACGGTGAAGGTTAAAAATTTTCTAATATTATTTCTAAAATTGACTCAATATGTGACGAAAAACAAACCTAGGTGGGCTTGTTTTTTTCTTAAGTTATGTATGACATATTCTCAAGTAGTTACTTCTCTCGACTATAGATACGAGTGTAGATCACTATAAATAGGTAAGAATTCATTGCGCCATGTCAAATTAATTCAAATTCAATTCAAACGGCAGATTTGATTAAAAGATTAAAACTGTTTCGTCGCGATTGCATGACCTTTCATAATTTTCTAAGACCAAACAACAATTGTATATCACACGCGATGTATATTTCGTTATGTTTTTGTAAAGAATGATTGATTGTACCGAGTATATTTCCTCGTTTTTCGTGTTCCTTATTTTCATCAATCAACATTTGTAAATATACAATTTTCCTTTTTTTATATAATACAACAATAATACGTAGGCAGTTCACAAAAAATATCGTGTTAGTTACAAAGAATTTTATACACAATTTTTTTATTTTTTTTTAACCTAATAACATCGGAGATGTAAGATATAACGACGTCCATAAACATGTTGCTATTTTAATATGATTACTTACTATGCCCTGAGGTCGAGAACCGTTCAATGTTATCTGATGAAAATACGCTCTGCAGTAGCGAAAAAGTAAAAAGTGCTTGAAAAATTCGTCAGTCTTGTTAGGTTCTGGGAAGCTCAGTGATAGAGCAGTCGTCCGGATTTCGAAAGGTCATAGATTCGAGTCCCACATCAGAGTGCCAGAGATAAGTTGGATTTTTTAAACATTTTTCATTAACAATACTTTTCAGTATAGCATTGTGAATGCGGGATTCATAAAATATAATAACTATGTATCAATGTTTATATATATAAATATGAAATTTTAAAAACTTCTATTTACAATTATGCAACCCACCCAAACTATTACCTAGGTCTTCTGTTTTCCGTACTCATATTCTATCTCACTCTTGTACCTATCGAAAAAGTGAAAAAGAAATACGCGTCGGAAAAAGTATTATTAGTAACTAGTTAACCCAGCATGAGTTCATACGGATAATAAACTCCCTCAAGGCATTCATTACAGCATCGAAATCGTACTGTGGAATCACATTTACATGTCGTTATTTTCGCATGTCGTTTCATATATTAGGGTAAAGGGATAGATTTTAGTAGTGACACTATTCAACATACAAATATGATTCTAACCATACTAAATGTATGAAAATGATACATAATACGAGATATGAATCTATTTTAAGGGCATTTTCAATTTATGTAAGAAGTTACGGAGATACAGAAGAAGATAATCAAAGAAACAAAAACGAGTTGAAGTTAATACGCTATCGAGTGGTAAATGAAACTTTTTTAAAGTAAAACATTGAATAGGAAAACAGTGGATATTCTAAAGCATATAAATTTTGTGCACATAACATACATAGTTAGCCTGTAATTCTCCTTTTATCCTTTCATCATATAATATGATAGCTGCATAGTCGTCGCAGGACGTTGCGGGTCTGCGCGCGCACTCCCCTTGGCATGTGGCCAAGATGTTTTCTTTATTTACCCCCCACTTTTGCCAAATAGCGAATAAATTTTAAACTTACAGCCAATTCTATCAAGCCAACGAGGTTACTCTTGGAAGCTGTTCAGATGACGATATGCTTTCTGGAAAATTTTGCTAATATATTTGAAAAAAAGACATGTCTACTATTTAATTGATTCATTATAAGTTGAGAACATCCTTTATTAAAGTTTTGTTGACAACATTTTTAATCATCCAGCATTATTCACCTTCTTATACGCAGGACGACTTTTGGCTAACGCAAAAGCCATAAAAAATCATCCGCACTCATATCTAATGTCATTAATAAATCAAATGATGTTACCGTCTCACGGTGTAAAACAAGGTATCAAAATACTCGACATCGATTTATATCGATTTCGAGATAAATCGATGCCGAGTATTTAAACAAATGACTGGTAACAACAGCATTTTGCTATTCATTCCAGGGCTCAGCCGATTCAAACTACTCACAACCATCGTCGGAGCTGTCGCTGGACGAGGATAAAGAGGCGCTGCGCCGCGAGAAGGAAGCGCAAGCACTCTCACAGCTCGATAAGGCACGGGTGAGTGTGGAGATACTCTTGGGTTGTGCTCGAGTCCTGAATATAAAATCAAGTGGCTCGTTCAAAGGAGTCCATAATTTTCGTTGTGGTGCGAAGACATAGTTGTAACAATGGACGTTGCGACAAAACATCAATTTGATGAACATACACGCATTCAGTGGTCGTGTGACTGAAATACCGATTCAAACCTCTTTTCTGTGTTCTGTGATTCAACCTCACGCAAAAATGAAAATATAATCATTAGGTTCTGGTACAAGTCTATTTCCTAACAACTTATTATAGGCTCTCACTATAGTAAATGTATGTCATAGTTATTAAATATTTTGGAAGCCTAATACTTAATGAGTTTTATTTGCATTTTTGCAACTTTGTACTTAATTACCAAAGACATTTTTACTGTGCTCCTTTTTGTTAATTTTATAGTTTCTAAATAAAAAGACAAAATAATTGTAAAATGGATTTTAGGTAATTAGTTTATTACTTAATTAGTTTATTACGTTAATTAGTGCACTCTTCAAAAAACTTCTTCTTCTGTGGTGCCAGCTGCTAGTACAGGTTGGCTGTCATTATGGTAATTTTCACAATTGTTACAGCTGCCCAAAATATCAAACGAGTGCTCTATCTGCAGCGTAGGCATGACTCTTCTCCTACCAACACTTTGCTTGTCATGGATTTGTCCTTGGATGTTTAATTGTAACAATTTTTAACAGTAATTTTAACTTCACATGAAGTCCCTTCAATCAAAAAATCAATCACCAGCCCTTTTACGTCCCCACTGCAGGGACTCAGGCCTTCCTTATGGATGGTTAAGGAGGATGGGCCATGACCCTCCACGCTGGCCCAATGCGGATTGGAGGGTATTGACGACTGCAAATGCAGCCGGGACCAATGTCTTAACGTGCCTTCCGAAGCACGGAGTAGCTCGAGATAATAATTTTTTGGTACCGACCCTTACGAAAGTTGCTTAACGACTACGATCGCGGGCCGCGGCGCTTATCCACTACGCCACCGAGCTACTCTATGAAGTCCCTTACTAAGCAAGAACGTATAAAAATGACTAAAGCTGGTGTTCTCATTCTTCCAGTCGAAGCCGGTCGCATTTGCCGTGCGGACGAACGTGTCGTACGATGGCTCATTGGATGACGACTCGCCCGTACACGGCAGCGCTATCTCTTTCGATGTGCGCGACTTCCTACACATTAAGGTAAAATTTACATTAAATTATTCGAACTTACTTCGTATAATATCTATTTGCCCTGGAGGGGTATTTAACACTGCTTTTCTCGTATTATGTATATCATTATATACAAAATCACAAAGCAAATTCATCTTAAACATGAATCTGATATTACTTATATTGAATATTTGAATTGCCTTCTTTGACAAGGTTTCTACATCATAGATATTTCTATCATTAGGTATTAGTTGTAGAATCTTGTCCTGGTCTCATACAGCGTGTTTGAGGCATTAGCTAAGACTACAATTGAAATACTTCTTACTACATTCACAGAATATACCATATATAAGCATCTAGAGTGGTATGATAATTTATAAGCAAAGCCCCATGTAATGTAAAATAAATTTGAGAAATATTTGCAAAAAACCAAAGGTGTAACACGTAACATGTACTATAGATATAGATAACATAAAACTTGTAATCGTCCGAAAAGAAAATTAAAAAATGGAGGCAAATCTTACAGGAGAAGTACGACAACAACTGGTGGATCGGGCGTCTCGTAAAAGAGGGCTGCGACATCGGCTTCATTCCGTCGCCGGTGAAGTTGGAGACAGTGCGCGCGGGGCTGGCGTCGCGCGGTCGCTACGCGCGGCCTGCCTCCGCCGCCAACCTCGCGCCGCTCGCGCCTCTCGCTCCCCTCCCCAGCAGAGGTAGCACCCCCCCCACGCCCGGTACGTCACGCGCCCCCCACCCCGACTCCGAGCTCTCGTCGCTGCCGCACGTGGCATACGCAACCGCTCACGCGATACGAGTCTACCCAGTGTGATACTCAGATGGGATAGGGGTATATTCGACGGTGATTTGTTCATTATAGATACTGATACAGTCGCGTGGACGACGAACCGGACGGTGGCTAGCTCTGTTTAGAATAAGAGAAGCGCGATCGAGAGGCCGATCGTCTTCTCTGGTAGACCTTTATGATTTTGTTGGCGTGCGACCGATCACTGTTTTCAATTTAGAGCTAAAAGTTTTCCATGTAGATTTGCTCGCTTACATGTTTTGAAGCACCGGATTTCATGCATCCATCATGGTCATGATGATGTGACGGCTTTACCTTCGCACGCGTTGAAGGTCTTTAGACGCAAACAATCAGTTAGTTCTAAAGGAACAATGCACCACCATCTTGTAATGTATCAGTAGAACAGATCGAATTTCCTTTTTTAAAACATAGTCACCTCAGTTGATCTTCATCGATCGAATACAAAAGCGGTTACGTCTGGCTCGCAGAAATTTATGGCTACGAACTGAATAGATGAATTACAGATGTGAATAACTAATAAATTATTAATTCATATGAATCGAACTGCAACATCAAATGCGTTACAATTCAAACTTCTGCAATTCATTCTACAAGCTTAGCATTATGCTGAAGAAGACTGATATCAAAATTCATTACATAATTCCTTTATGCGGATTTAATTGAAATAGTTTAGACAGTTTATTAGGATTGTGTGGAAAAATCTTCAGTATACGGGTAACAGATTCAGTTCGGTAACCAATTAATGCTTTTACGATACGCCAAACGATTATGTCATAAAAATTATTCAATGTATTACTTGTGACGATATTTTATAGTTCTGATAGCTGTGAATTGCTAATAGCACTTATAATATAATCAAGGATAGTTTTTGTTACAATACGTTTGGCGTCTATATTAACGTACAACGCAGTTGGTTTATTTCTGTCAGTTCGTCTTGATCTTTTGAATGCAATCTTTCTGCACTAATTTAGCTGTAAAATGTTTTTTGACATTATTTTATTTAAATTTTTTCTAGAAATAATAAAGTAAGGCGATACTGTCATTAATAGAAATAGTTTTATATGAAATTGGCAACATTAATAACGCTTTTTTTCTTTGACGCTATGGCAAATGGCATCAGTTATATTTAATTTCCTTTTTATAATAATATTTATCAATTATTTTATAATATCACCATTTATTCCCGGTATTTGGTAAAATTACCTTTCCATAATGCGGTTACACAACTTTAGAATTTCAAAATTATTATAACATTTATATATGATATCTTAACTGCTTTGTACTACCATTTCAAACTACGCTAACATACATAATTCATTGGTGGAATTGTTTGGATTTCCTGGTATGTAACTTTTTACCGCACTAACTTTTCACATATTTTCAGATGCACCTACTTGTAATAGAGGTACGCTCATTCACTCATTAATTACCAGGAAATTATGACAATTTTTACCACAACTTGATTTTAATAATCATTATTTGTTTCTATTTTTACGTATTTAAATAAATATATTTAAAATGTTTTAATTGCTATGGCGTCATGTCCATAGTCGAACGCATTATTATTGTAATGATAATTTAATGAAAGACTTTCTTACGTTAAGCTCGTTCTTTTTAAACACATGTTTCAATAATATTATATAATGCATGCAAAGTTGCACATTCTGAAAATCTTGAATTTTCTATACAAATTTCAAATTTACAATTTATTAACAAATAGGTATTTATGTGTGATATTATAAATTTATTTATCTATAATAATTAAATAACAATGGAAGCATAGGTACTTTTGTTCTAATCTGTCCGTTTTGTTTCCAACTTAGCTTGTTCTTTTGGTGACAATTCATATGAAATGGGTTTAAAATAAATGTTTTCTTCAAAGAAGAACTTTTTTTTGTATGGAGGCTGGTACTTTATTCAAATTATCTCTAATCAAACATAAAGTATATAGTAATCGATAGAGGGTAAATAAACCTTACATATCATCATTTTATTTTATTTTTAGGCGCCGCCAAAGTGTTTATTTTATGATTTGAACATCATTTGGTGGATATTTTATAATTTATGTAGCAATACATAAGTGCATTAAGAAAATCTATGATAACCCCATCCCTCAGTTACGTTAATATATATGTAAATTATTATATTTAGACAATGTGGAATCATTAGTTTAATTTGCTATTAATTATTGTTATTTCAGACCTCTAAATGTCAAATACAGAGATATTTTGAATGAATCGAAATTCGTTAACGCAGTTTAGGCTCGGTTTGAGTCTATTCGGTACATGACTTATTATAATAAATACATAGTTAACAAATAATGAATTCTATTTTCACAGTTTTGATATATGGTTCGTCTACTAGGTATTCTGATTTATTAAAGTTAATTTTGGGGTATTACCCAAAACAGGCAAATGTTATTTTCAAGTATCCTGAAAGTGACGAATTAACAACAAATCAGGTATTTTGTGTCGTTAAAGTTGACTATAAAACATCCTTTAATTACATCAAACATATTGCTTTTGTTTAATTTTCTTTCGTTTCTTTCTATCAATCTCAACTTAAATGGCTCCCTGTACGTCAGCGGAGATAGCTACGTGTGTTTTACACACTCATTTCTGTTCTTTCCGATCCATGTCCTCCTGATTACTTTAAATGTAAATTCCAGTATATTTGTGATTCGAAAACTTCGTTCTTCTAAAACACTAACACTTTCTACTCCTCTTTTTATTCTGGCTTTATATCCGATGCTTTTATCCTTCAAGCCATACGCCTGCGGGAATAGCCTTCCTGACCCCATCAGAAGATCTCCCAATAAATTTATTTTTAAACCTAAAACTCATGCCTTTCTAATGCAATATATGTGAAATTCATCATCAATATTACGTATCTATAATTGTGTTATTGTATGTATGTATTTATATAGATATGTATACCTATATTGTCATTTTTCCTAAACGTTAACTGGAAGAGAATGCCATTAGCATTAAGTCCATCTTTTGTACCATTTCTTTACTGGTCAATAAAGTTTTAATAAAAATAAAGAATAAAATTGTAAGTTATATTACACAAACCACTTAATAACATCAAAAATTGCTGATTTTAATGGTTAATTGATTTGATTACATATCTCTTCAATTGCAAATAATGATTTATTTCAAGAAGATGAATTCTTAACATGTGTATCTACGAATATATGTATGACAAGCCTATTAATGTAACGATCAGACCAAAAATTTAAAGCTTTTTCTTATTTACGAGTATTTCGGATTTAAATAATACTGGATTTAATCAATGCTTATTATCAAATTTCATTATGTAAAATATATTTATCTATTCTTGTAATTTCAATTATTTACCTTACTCTGTACTTTAAATCAATGTCAAATGATAAGGTTAAAGCTCGACTTCTATAAAAAATACATATTCAAATCCATAAGTTGCAGTTATGAGATGTCTGACTTTTTATTAGGTGAAGACTCGGATACAGGGACACGCGGGCGGGGCGCTGGCGCCCTCCCTGCTGGTAAAGAGAAACGAAAACCATTCTTCAAAAAACAGGAGGCTTGCACACCTTATGACGTGGTGCCCTCCATGCGACCCGTCGTACTCGTCGGGCCATCGCTCAAGGGTTATGAAGTAACAGATATGATGCAAAAAGCACTTTTTGACTTTCTAAAAAGAAGATTTGAGGGTCGGTGAGTATAATACATTTTTAAATGTATTTTAGAATGCCTCGTAGCGGTAGTGACCTTATTTTTTTGGATAATCATAATAATGATAACTATGTAAGTGCAATATCCATTTAAAAATACCGAAAGCGAGAACACAAGTAATGTGGTATACTATTACAGGATAATAATAACCCGTGTGATGGCTGACATATCACTTGCAAAAAGATCGCTCATGAACAATCCTTCGAAACGAGCGATCATGGAACGATCCAACTCGCGTTCCACGTGCCTCGCCGAAGTGCAGGTAAACGTCTCTAACTTTACTCCGCCCGTGTTGCAGGATCATCATCACCAGGGTTTCGGCAGATATTTCGCTGGCAAAGCGATCGTTGCTCAATAACCCACCAAAGAAACCGATCATGGACAGGTCAAACTCGAGAACGAATTGTTTGCAAGAGGTGCAGGTGCGGGAATGATTGTGACTTGTGCCAGTAAAATTTGCTAGTAACATACAGTATGGTGGCCGCAGTAGCGTAGTGCTTGTACTGACCCGATTGTCCATCGCATCTGAATATGAATCTCTTCGTTTCCTCACTAACACCACTTCACTCACCGACAGACCGATCCAATTATTTTTTCGATTCACCGATGCGATCATAGCCTGCCGTAACTTTGGATATGCGAAGCTTTGTGACGTCGTAGATATTGAGCTTTGTTTCGTCTTGTGATCTAATATGCCTTAACGTGCAATGATTATACGTCAGCGTCTATCTTGCAGTTATCCTTGTATCAGTATAACTAACTCTTTCTAACCGAATAACACCGATGATGATGTTTTTAATTACTGCTCCCAACCGGCGTACTTACATATTCGATCTCCATCGTAATCGACACGTTAATATTCGACTAAAACCATAATGGCACAATCCAGAAGTATCCTATGGCATGGGTAGATTAAAGAGTTTTTCTTAATCTAATTACATCTATCTACTATACCTACATTTACAATACTGTACAACATATATAATGTAAATGATCCAGAGAATTCGCGTGGAGTGGTGGTAGTATAGTTTGGTATTGCGTATTGTACCGTGATGGGTGTGCAGGCGGAGATTGAGCGCATTTTCGACCTGGCGCGCACGCTGCAGCTGGTGGTGCTGGACTGCGACACCATCAACCATCCCTCGCAGCTCGCCAAGACCTCACTAGCGCCTACTATTGTTTACCTCAAGATATCCAGCCCGAAGGTACTCATGACGACTTATGACTGGTCACGTGACCAAGACCGCGATTCTAAATTTAATAATAACGCAACCCAATGACTTCTCTTGAGGTCCAAAGGTGCTGGTACTCCTTCACCAATCTAGGTGAATGATATGTTTGTTATTTTTTGATCTTATTGCCAGAATTGTTTCAAAAAAACGTGATATTAAAGGGCCAATAAATGACCTGAAAGAATGAATAATTGACAATAAAAACTTTTAAGAAGTATTTTTGCTGCACAAAAAATGATTCTTCGAGTTCAGAACAGTCAAGTAGCTCTTGTAGATAAGCCATGAGATATAGAAACTCATTTTATTTTCAAGGAAAACAGTCAGTATCGTATTAAATAAGGTTTACGTTGAAAATATTTCAGGTGTTACAGCGACTGATAAAGTCTCGAGGGAAGGGACAGAGCAAAAACCTGTCGGTGCAAATGGTGGCGGCCGAGAAGCTATCGCAATGCCCCCCGGATATGTTCGACGTTATCTTAGACGAGAACCAACTAGAGGACGCTTGCGAACACATCGCGGAATATTTAGAGGTAGACTGATAGTAATTTATTTAATCGATAGTTCGGTTTTAGGTTTCCTTATGAATTTGATAATTTGAAAAATACTAATGCACAGATGCATCCAGCCAATTTTGTCATAGTAGAGTGAACCTAAAATGTTTATGATAAAATTCATTAGGCACAGAAATCCTCACTGCCCGACGACCGGGTTATAATCTTTTACTCTTGTCGTTTTGAATGGGATGTGTTGGTGAGGATGTATATTATGTACGTGTGTTTGTAACTCTTTCACGAAAAAAAATACTGATCGGATTTGTATGAAATTTGGCATACAGACTATAAGCTGCATCTAAGCCTGATTAACATTATAAGCTGTTTATCCCACTAAACAGTTCCCTAGGAACCACGCGAGCGAAGCCTTTTTTTATACCGAGGGGAACTGACCTTAACAAGCCGTCGACCTTGGCAAGAGGCCGACTGAATCCGGGCTCTCCCACTACAAGGGACGGCGGTTTAGTGCAGTAGGCCTACCGTGCAAAACCCTCCGTACTTTCCTCTCTCTTGGTCCGGTACCTGGTATCTTAAAATAAGTCCCAGGTAGACCCGGACCGTACGCAAGCGAAGCTTAACGGAGAGCTAGTAGTATGTAAGTGCAATGCATTGGTTGCAGGCGTACTGGCGCGCCACGCACCCGCCGGCGGCGCTGTCCCGCGCGCCGCACCCGCACCCCGCGCACGCCGCGCACGCGCACGCGCACGCGCACCACGCCCAGCCCGGTGAGTGTCAGCGATACTGCCCACTCTGTCTTATACTTATAAATATTTAACTATTGATGTTCGTGCTGCTGGGGTATTCACGGAGACTTCGTCGCAAAAATGTGCAAGAGTTTACTAAATATTGATATTTCTGAAATCACATCACTAAGTACCGAGTGCAAAGGCTATGTAATGGAACACCTGGTATATCAACCGCTAGAAAACACTTGCATATTTTCGTCACGAGCTCGTAAACTAATAAAGAGATATAGTAGAAATCTAATAAATACCCTTCGAAAGAAACACGGAAGATGGGCGGCATCCCATCGTTTGTTGGCTACTAATGCTGCAAAATGCAGCTTAAACCGACTACGTAACGTGCCTTCCGAAGCATAGACAAGTTCGATATAATCAATTTTGGTCACCCATCGCATGACTAGCCTAAGCGAAAATTGCATACCGTAACTGTAGTATTCATTTGATTTAAAACCTATTTACACGCATTAACTTGTTAAATAGATAGGTACTCTGGCAACTTAATTCTAATGGTGGAGGTGGGTGGCGCAGTGGCGGACTAACCCTGTCGGGGGCCCGGGGCGGCATAAGGTCCGTACCTACAACTTTTTACAACTGGTGCAAAAACTTGATTTTGTGTTTACACCGCCTCCCCTGCTAAGACGCCTGCTAAAACTACGAAACTAAGAAAAATAAGGCAGAACAACCCTAATTTATGATTTGATCAAGGGAACTTAGTCCGCCACTGGAGTGGCGCGATGAAAAAACTGGTAGAAATCCTCAGTCTTGATTTATTTTCAATTAGTATTACAACCAAAAACTATGATACTTACTCTAGCTGGTCTCGATCAGAAAGGGAGACTGACAACCAGCAAATTACGAATACGCGAATTCGAATATGAAAAAGTAATAATTTAAATATTAACGGCCAGCATTGACCATAAACCGTCCAAAGAGTAAACCTGCCTATAGTAATGTGCACGGACGTTACAGTATCTAATTTTAAATCAAGTTTAAGTAATAAATTTCATATAAATACAGAATTTAATGTTTATTCTATATAAAACAAATCGTTTTAAAAACTTATATAAATAATGTTAATGACTTACCCTACCTACCTACGTTAGTAATATTGTAATGTAAGCGCAACTCAGTTGTATAGTCACTTTATTTGATAAAAATTTCAGCAAACTAAGTACATTACTAGTCTCATCTCTTAACAAACAAAAGGATTCAAACCGTGTCGTTCCATTTAATATTCTGCAGGGGAAATCCGTAAAAATCTGAACCCGAATTCGAATTCACTTCGAAAGCGAATTAACTTATATAAGTGTAGAATTTGATTCCATTTTTTTTTCGTATAGAAATACAAATAACGTTGATTGATTTAAACGTGTCTCAGATATTCTATCCCTATGTCATTTTGAAACTTACTTCACTTATCCCATGACAATACAAATGATGTCGCGTTCAAAGTGAATTTGGACACCTGAGTGAATTCGAATTCGGGTTTGGATTTATAATTAATCGTTCTGCTGTAGATATTTCAGAGATGCTCTTTTGATGTTTCTATTTTCACTTAAAACCATTTTAAATTACAATTTAGTTAAAATTATATATTTAACATTAGAGGAGCTTGATAGCGATGTATTAGCGCGTTCAGTTCGCGATGCGGAACTTAAGTAAATTTCACAAGCGCCTATCATAGGATGTGTGACCAAAAATTTATTATCTCGAGGCACTCCGTGGCTCAGAAGGCACGTTAAGCCGTTGAGGCCGGCTGCATCTGCGGTCGTTAATGCCCACCAAACTCCCTATTCCATTCCATTGATAAAGAACATATATAGAGATGGTCTGTGCCCCAGCGGTGGGGACATTCAGAGGTGATAATGATGATATTTTTAGTGCTATTTAATATTACCAGTACAAAAAAAGTCTTATAAATTGAATTTTGCCTCGTCTCCTATTTTTTTTAACTCCAAAGTTTCTCTTTTATTTATATAATTCTGTATAACAACACTATTTTGTTTAACTTAAATTTATTCCATTACTAACAAGGCCTTTTATTAAATGTTAAATTAACTAATTATAAATACTGCACTACTTCACTATAATATGCTTTTAATGTTAATTGAATTAGCAAGAAAGAACACAATCACATCAATAAACAATTTTTCGTGTCAATAACGTCTCTGATCCTTATCTACTCAAACATAAATGCATATTCCATAAATACTATCAAATAGCACAAGATTTCGTTTGTTGTTTCATACTGCGGTTGCCAACCGTACTCTAAAGTAGTATTAGTGTAATCTTTATACAAATAGAAGACGCTAAAATATTTTTTTTACACAATTTTTATTAGACTAGTGCCGAATTACGCATATATTATGCATACCTATTAGTGTAACAAAACAGAAACACTTTTTTTTCTAGATGTTGTGATACTCTTTTCTCAACAACTCCATGCTCTTTATTTACCTTCTTTGAAATCAGATATACTCTATTTCTTCTAATAAAAGTAGAGAAATCCATTTTATACATAAATAAAACCGTTCAATACTCATAAATACATAAGTATTAAACGGTTTTATTACACTAGTAAAATTTTACGACATAATATAAATAAGAATTTAAAATGTCCTTTTTACTGTTTTATTCGTGTACTTGTATGATATCTAATAAAGCGCACTAAGTACCTTTTTGATTCGTTCTCATTTCACATATAAAAAGATAAAAATAATAATGGCATCGTTATATTTGATAAATTTTGCATTCACAATGCTTTACTGGAAAATGTTCATAATGGAAAATGCTTTAAAAATCCACTTTGTCCCTGGCACTCTGATATGGGACTCGAGCCTATGATCTTTCGCAATGGCTATTACTCTAGCTAGAATATCTCGGTGGCGCAGTGGATAAGTGCCGCGGCTCGCGATTGTAGTCGCTAAGCAACTTTCGCAAGGGTCGGTCACGGGATGGGTGACCAAAAACAATATTATCTCGACTCCGTGCTTCGGAAGGCACGTTAAGCCGTTGGTCCCGTTTGCATTTGTAGTCGTTAATACCCTCCAATCTGCATTGGGTGAGCGTGGAGGATCATGGCCCATCCTCCTTAACAATCCATAAGGAAGGCCTGAGCCCCTGCAGTGGGGACGGAAAAGGGCTGGTGATGATGTGATGTGATTACTCTAGAATAATTAGAACAAATTTTCATCTTCATCGAAAGTTTAAATATGTAAAAATATCTATCGGCTGTTTGGGTGGATTGCCTTAACATTGACGAAGATACGCTCTGTTGTAGCGAAAAGTAACAAGTGCTTGAAAAACTCGTCATTCCTGTTAGGTTCTGGGTAGCTCAGTGGTTAGAGCAGTCGCCCGGATTGCGAAAGGTCGAGTCTCTTCTCAGAGTGCCAGGGACATAATAAATTTTTTAAACATTTTTCGTTAATAATATTAAAATGGCATATAAAAAATGGGCATTCTCCCTGTATATATGTAAATTCTCACATTTTTAACCTCACTATTCATTTATTAAGTATATTTATAAATATTCGTAATATTTCATAAATTAAATCACTAATAAGTTTTCATTTTGTTCATGGCAATATTTTTTATCTTATAAGTTTTAGTTACGAATGAAAAAAGCTGAAAAGTTACTTAAAATTTAAAAATTTCCTGTACTCTGATTAATATTTACTGAATTAGTAAAATAAGTATTAGGACGTTGTTGTCGTTAATCGTTTAAACGAAAACAGCAAACTACACTATGTCACAATATATTTCCTAACATTTCTTGAAATGTAACCTTTTTGATGAACCTAACATGTATTAATACTTTCTAACATTGACTAGTCTACGTGAAAAAAAAACTATGAAAGTGATTAAGGAAATATTTCTTTGTCTCAAGTAAAAGTTTACTATTTTACCACGTATTATTTAAAAGTAACTATTTAAATTCGCATACAAAAATACTAAATACACAACAAAATGCATGATTTGATGCGCATAGCTCTTGGTTAGATTTACTCCAACAGATTTAGATAAATATTATTCTATCATAATATTAATTTACTGTAATTAAAAATTAAGAAACTTTTCCATTTTCACTGTGCAATAACTGTCTATTCAATCTGTTGAACCCCCTTTGCATTCCGGAGGACACCGTGAGAGATCAGACTCTTATAACTATGAGAGGGAAAGAGGTAACTAACGCCATCTATATCGCAGTAACTGCAACACGCATGAAGGTAGAACGCCAAAGTTCCATTCGTTTTGACTGTCAAATGTAGCAGTGAATTTGTTTTCTTTTTTATGAATACAAATGCCAATTTTCATTGTTCTTTTTATAGGTTAAAGTAGGTATGAGATGTATTCATTTTATTAGTTTAAAATATTTTGATTATTTTTATACATATAAATACCTAATAATATTGAGAAAAAATTTAAAGAACTAAAGTAATAAATTAACTTATTATTATAATAAAAACAAAAAGTTATTTTCAAAGAGTAAAAGAAAAGCCGTCTTCGTCAATTAGTGACTTCGCTATCGAATACATAAGATAAAGTTTCTTTTTTGTACAGCACAGCTCTAAGTAGAAACTATAAAGAATTATTCATATTGAAACGGAAGGTAACAGGTTTATTTAAAAGTTAATATGAATTCAACCTATATTATATTTTATTCGATATAACATTCTTTGCCATATTTAGTTGTTTTCCTCTACAATATTTTATCGTACTCGGAATCAAAGAGATCACTTCAAATCTTGATATTACGTTGGGTAGAATTATTACAAAATTTTCGGGTGAAATATTTTTCTCTACGATCCTGCTTTTATATTTTTGTTTTAGCCCTCTGAAATCTGTAAATTGAGTGGCTTAGAAATCTATTACAATTATTTTTATTTATCCGTTTTAAGCATTTCATACAACCGGAACATAGCATTCATTACTTTGTAGCTGTAGTTTACTCATAAAACTAATTTTAAACTAACTAATTATGTATTCAATCTGTAGATTTTGTAGTATTAGAATGTTGTCGTCATTGATGTCGTTCATTTTTTGTATATTGGGCATATGGAATGTATCCTAACCGCGTATCCACTGACCCACCCTATTCATTTCAGTACAAGCATCAGGACAAGCGCACTAATCGCCGAGCAGAAGATCATATATTCCAGATGTATCAATTTCTAGCAGATTCTCCACCGATGACCCAGGTTGCCAACCTTTCTAGGAGCTCAGCCCGTCGCCATAACGCTTTGCCGTGAGGGTGTCGCTTACTAACCGTGACCGCTGAATATTTACCACCGATCTCCTCCATCACGATTTCGGATAGGCGTTTGCACCTGACGTGACGCTTTTCTGCTCAACTAAAAGGGTCTAAGGTCTGAGCGCTCATCGAAACGAACTCAATGTTCGCTCATCGTACCTACATAATACATTTTGAAACAGTTTTTCACTACGAATCATTTCAATTAATTCAACTAATAAGCAGGCAAAAAATAGGATCTATTGAATCTGATACGGAATGAAATAAATATTTCGGGGATTCGGTCGGAATCGCCTTAGACCCTTTCGCGGTTGCCGCACGCACGCAGCGGCTGGCAGGTCGTGTCGGCTCACCGTCCGCTTCTTGCAGCAGCGCCGGCCGCCGCCGCCGCCGAGGTGCTGCCGTGTCCGGGCCGCGTGCGCGCTACTCTGCCCGCTGAGTCGCGAGCCATAGTCGCATAGTGAGTCGGGTGACCCTGATGCCGGCAACGTTTGCAGTGTGCTCCACTTTTAGTTTTGATTTTTCTCTCCTGCATCTGTTGATTTTTCGATGCCTGGTTTTGAACCCTCGACTTTGAAGTAGAACATTCCGATGTGCGACGTCGGGATACGATCGTGTGAACGTCCTATACCGGCCGGTATTCGCATGTTAGAATTCGTTCATCCCCCCGCGTCGCACGTCGGGTGGTTTACGCAGTCAGAGACCGTGTTGTGATCGAACTCGACATCTTTGACAGGTGGCAGAGCCCGGGCGACACGGCCCGAACGGCTCGAAGAGGAGTACTACCCGCGCGAGAGGTATCAGCGGTACGGGCGCGACCAGTACCCGCGCGAACAATACCCGGACGCCGCGGGCTACCCGCCCGAGGCGTACCCGCCTGCGGAATCGTACGAGCGCGAGGCGTACGGCCACGATTATACGCGGGATGCGTACGCGCGTGAAGACTACGCCAGAGATTACGGGCGCGATTACACCAGAGACGGCACGTACAGGGAGGAGCGACGCGGCCGCGATCGTGACGGACCCGACGACTACGGGCCGTCGAGACGCGCGCTCAACGCCGTATAGCCGCCGCATGCGCGCTCCGTGCGCACTCGACGAAGCGAATCGCGGGACACGCTCGCGCAGATTCCATTGGATTACTTCCTTCCGCCGCGGCCGCGCTGAGGAGGAGAGCTTGACCGAATTGAGAGTTTCTTAGGTAGCGGCGGCGCACGGGGCGACGTTTCCCATATCGCGTTCGTAGGCGCTTCCTTCCGCGCCTCTGTTCGCTTGATCCGCTTCGGGTCCACGATTAATATTTTGTTCTACTCGTCACTGAAGCGTCGCTTCGCTTCGCCTCGGCAGCCGCCAGTGGCATGCTTCGCTTCGCAGCTGTAGTGGCACGCTTCGTTCGCGCCGCGCGTCGCCGCCGACCGTCGCTTACGGTACGGAACTCGTGTCGATTGTATAAATTTTACATAAACTTTAATTTTAGTAATTACCGTTAGATATTATCCGTTTCCCATTTTTGAACATACTCTGTAATTATATTGCATTGTCTGTACTTCATTGTTGCAATCATTTGTAAATAAAATACTTTATATCAATGCGTCAATCTTATTTCTTACCCTCATATTTAATTTAGGACCTTAAATGATACAACGGTTTATGAAAGATATCGCAGTTTATTGAAGTAGATTCGATGACGATATATTTATGTTTAACATTTACAAGCGAATAGACTTGCCCTCTATGTCTTCTTCATTCCATAAATAAATTACAACATTACAATGCATAACAGATAAATAGCTCTAATGTCACATAATTATATTCTCGCTCGCCTCTTTGGTGTCTACTAGCTAAATTAAATTTATATACAATTTTAGTCAAATTACAATATTAGTTTTTGTTGCGATCAGGTAACAATTATAATCTTACACAATGTTTCGAGATGAAACTATCATAATTATTTTGTAGACTAGAAGGAAATATAAATGTTTAAAACCTGCACTAGTTACAAATGACAAATGTTTACAATATTGTAGATTTTTATTTAAAATCTTTATTTAAAATCTTTCACATCAACATGTAAGATAATATTACTTGTAAACGTTAAAAAGATATTTTCCCCGTTAGTGGTTAGATAAGCTGTTATTGCAACATCTCTTTGGTTTCGCACTTCAAATCAGAGATTACCATTTTCCCAAATCTCTTTTGGTTTGACAGCGTCTCTATATACACTATATACAAGTTCACACTTTATTTACACCGCACTTAAGTCGCCTTTTCACTGTCCGTTGGCATTGATTCCACTTGCAACCTTTGAGGCCACCCCAGAGGATGGTCCTAGGCAAATTAACGGCTAGTCAGATGTAGAGGTAGTCGTTTTTTGTTTCTTTACAGTAGCTTATGCTGGGGAATTTGTATACGGGCGTATACCGTCTCCTTTCTCCTTCGGCTTCTAGAGATAGAGCGGATAACGCTCTGGAGGTTTCTTCGTCTTCTTGGGTGGGTTCAGCGGGGGGCGCGGGGGCGGGTAGGGCGCGTGGTGGGAGGGGAGGTGCGCGCGGATTACGTCGCACCCTGAAGTGACAGTCGGTATCCGGCGGCCACGCGCGCTGGACCAGCAGCGGTAAGTCGTCAGGATGAAGCTTGCGCTCATATTCTTGAGATGGGCACACCTACAATAAAGAAATATTTGAATATATATAACTTTTCATTATACCTTGTAGAGGAACCTATAAGGTCAATATAGACCCTTAAAATCTGGCTGCAGTTTACATATATATAAAATCAAAAGAAGAGTAAGATATTGAATGAATTATACTTATATACTGTACATATTGAAATCTTTAACGGTCAGTTGCACTAACGTCCATTAAACAATGACGCCTTTAAGCTCTAATGAATCTTAAATTTGTATGGGTGATGTCACTTTAAACTAATGAAAAATTTAATTGGCGTTTGTGCAACTTGCTGGTTAACGGTCAGTTGCACAAACGTCCATTAAGGTATAAGGACGCCTTTAAGCTCTAGTGAATGTCAAATTTGTATGAGTAATGTCGCTTTAAACTAATGAAAATTTAATGGATATTTGTGCAACTGGCTGTAAGCTAACAAACAGTTACAATTATCATTAGTATAATGCCGATATGCATATTACCGATACATATTTTCAAATTTAGTATATTCATGAGAGCTTAGTCATTAAAATTAAGTTATTATGATTATATTAACTAGTAGTAAGCGTTAATTCGCAACTTCTATATGCAGATAAGACCTACGCACTAACCATATATAAATAAGTGTAAAAGCAAATCTCGCAAACGTGTTTGGCTCTTCTTTGAACACCTTTAGATATCATACCTTGCAAGTACTACTGACTATGAAAGTTGCTGAATCCAACTAACCTCATATAGTGAAAACCTCTCGACGCCTTCTGTGGAGTCATAACAATGCAGCAAGATCGCCAGCAGCTCGTCCGCAGTCGTTCTTTCACTGGTCAATAGACATTTGTATTGAGACGACGACATGAGAGCCGAGTCGTAGATCTTGACCAAACCACCTGGTCGCATTTGCAACGAAAACCTGAAAAGAGAGAGGTATAAGTATAAGATAGGTTCAATTATAAGATAAAATAAAACTTCTTAGAAACTCTTGCTCAATTTCATTTCAGCCATTTATCAATAGGAATGATAAATTGTTACTATTTATTAGGTATTTACGAGGCATTAAAATTGATATATTCATTATTACGTATTTAAGAGGCTTTAAAGTTGAGGATCGCTACGTCACAGTTTTTTAGAAAATGTACAAAAGTGTGACGTCATATGACATTTTAACTCAATCGCCGGAATTTAATGGTTACGAAAAAATAAATCCTTATTAATACCAGAACACGTGATATTTGGAACATCGCCTAGAATAATTATAAAATTTACCATTTACATTTACCATTTAATTTATCAAAAAACTTATATATAAGTTCAATAGGCATAACCGTAAAAGATGATTGAGTACAAAGCGGAGAAGTTAGTACATTGTGTAGAATAATAATTTTGACGTAGGAAAAACTAGTGTACATTTTTAGTACACGATCAAAATGATCACTACATCAATACTTATTATGAGACTGTTAGTTGTTTAAAATATCAAATAAATAAAGAAATGACGTCCCAACTTCGATCAACAATAGAGACTCCCAATATGAAAATCTGATAAATTAATACGGCTCTTAGAAGGCGTCCATTAATCACGTGAGGCACGTGATTTTTAGTTTTAAACCTCACCCTGTATCACCAAGGGGGAGGGAGGGTTCAAAAATAATGAATAAACATTATTTAGTAGCTTTAACATATGCCTTTTGTAATTTTATTAATTTTAACGAGGTCAATGATTCTCAAAGTTCAGCTAGATTAGAAGCTAATACATTGGTACAAATCCAAAATGTCTACTTAAACTTAATTTTGCATTAAAGCTTTTTTTTTCAATTGATGGGAATTGATCCAAAAATAAAATCCAATCGTTAAACAAATAGAAATTATTCTTAACAAGGATTTCGGGTCTATACGAACTAGATTCATTAATATGTGATACCTTAATACCACCAAAGGAGTGTATTAAAGCACTACAAAAGTAGCACCTTTCAACGGGCTCTATCAATAACAAGCACTCCATCCATTTAGGTACTGTCAACACAAAGTTACGCGGTCCGTATGGTCAACGAGGGGTTTTTAAAGTTTTTATCGTGCGCCATGTTTATGTACGAAAATAGAAGGCCGGAAGGGGACACGGCTAAGAAGCGATTCTTTTTCGGGACGCTGTGGACAGCCGGTGGTCCGGCGTGCCGAACGAGACAGAATCGGGTGTAATTAACTAGTGTTTTGGTCGTAGTATTTTATAAATTCAAAGCGGCTTAAAAGCTGCTGTTGTTTATAACTCGAGTTTATGCGTTTAAAGCTCTTAACTGAGAAAAAGTACGGTTGTAAAACTGTGATACACGTCAGAAAGAACTTGAAATCTCTGATTCAAATTATATAGACTGGCTATGAATTGAATAGATATATTTTAATGTGTGTTACAACGTGGTTACAATAATTAGAATGAATACTACAGTCACTGCGAAGAGTATAATTAATAGAAACAGTATATTCAGATACGTAAAAGGAATGACGTGAAAGATATCGTCATCCTTGTAGAAATTCGTAAATATTCGGAAACAAGAATGCTGAACAAAAGTCTGAGAAAATTTAAATAAGTTCAACCCCAAAATGCAGGGAGGCAGAAGCCGAGGAGGACCATGATACACCTATCACGATTAAATCAACCGCGTTCTATTCGAATGTGATATACAGAAATCAAGAATAATGAAAGTGGAAAAGGCGAAAGATGGACCTTAATGCTCTCGATCCTCTCTGCCTATACCGCTTTTAACCATAAAACTAGTAATTTTTACTCTAATACTTAAAAAATCGATGTGAAACGATAACTTGAAACAACTTAAATTATAGAGTAAAAAGGATTGTTCATTTTTCAAATAAATATATAGGTAATACTTCAAACATTAACAAAAAGAAAATGTACATAGTTTATCTATACTCTATACTCACTTAGAGTATCCTTTCGGATGGCACGCCTGTAGAGCGGCTGGGCGCGCGTCGTCGTCCAGCACGAGCGTGGTCCGCAGGCCGGCTGCGCGCACCCTCACCTCCATGCTGAGGTAGAACAGCCGCGGGTCCCGGTGCCTCATCCTGAACTTGCCGAGCAGCGTGGAGACCACTTCCCGCGCGCGCGTGCCCCACGTCACCGACAGCGTCTTGTATTCGATGTCTGGACGGAGACAGCGAGCGAACACCTTTATTGTCGTCTGCGGAAGATGAGAATAAATAATGAGTTTTTATTGTATATCTTAAGAAATATAAGGGGAAAAGCATTAGTCATAAAATAAGCATACATTAGTTGAGTTGAATATATGGGGGTGGCATTTCAGCTAGAGAAACCCATCTCTAACAATAGGAATTGTTGAAAAATAACGAGAAAAGAAACAACATCAGCTGGCCAGTCATTAAAATAAATAGAGATAAATTATAGTGCGTATTACACGAAATAACGCGGTGTTTTTAAATGTTGACAACATCGCATACATTGCTCGGTTCCCCAATTAATTGGCTTAAGTTAAGCAATAGTATAGTGAAAATCTAGAACAGCAAAAGTTACCACAACACTCAGATGATATAGAAATATTCGTTTTTACACTAATCCGGCCGGGAACCGCACCCGTGACCTCAGACATTTTTTGACCTAGGTAATACAGTTTTCTTCTTTTTATGGCAGCTTTATTTGGCAACATTTAATTGAGTGCATTTATTTTGGGCAACAAACAAAACATGATAACATCCCAAACGACACTTCTCTTACAACCTTAGGTCCTTGAGACCTGTATTATTTGTAATAACAAAAAACGATAGCAGCACTGTAACACTAGACCTAGAAAATAGACAGAAAAGTTTTTTAGAAACCGCAAAGCCTTACTCTCAGAGTGCAACTTATTTTACCAATACGGTCTGAAAAGAAAAGTCATACCAGAAATATTTTGGTAGATGATTCTTTATTATCAAGGAAGAAAGATTCAAGGTTTAATAAACTTAATGTAATTTGGATAGCGCAATGTAATTGCGAAAACCTCGTATTATAATACGTGGACATCTTAGAACACGACACAATCAAACTTAACAAAATGTAAAGATTGCAGAAAATCAGGTTCTCACGGAGCTAGTTGCCCTTTCACAATCACTATAATATGCAACTGCTTAGAAACAGGAAATATTTATTTCATAAGCTATCGAAACACACATGTACAATGTAAGTAATATCTAAGGATTTCTTTGATAAGGAGCACTCAAAATTTCACTCTTCATTATAAACTCATCTCCACTTCACTTTTTGTAAATCACACACCAAAATTTTCTTTTGTTTAATTTCGATCTAATGACTTAACGTTAGGATTTATTTGATTTTTAACTTACGTGAATATTATGGGGATGTAGCTCCAAGCGTAAGCGCGGTGCCGGCACGGGCGCGGTCATGGCTAAAACGTGCGCACGAGTCGCCGCACGATCACAAACTATCCAATACTCCGAGTGAAGTGACACCGTAGCCCTATCGATGTAACGGAAATCACCTCTCAGCCCCACACAAAGGGTGAACACACCACCTGCTAGCACCCCGCCAGGAAAACACGGATCGCACGCACTACACCACATTGACTTTTATTCGCAACAGGAAACGATACAAACAACCTTCTATTCAATTGCAATGAATGCAAGACGAAAGATAAATCTTGATGCGCCACTGAATCGATTACGTGTGAAAAACATGATATAGAATCACGAATTGTATGATCGTTTAACAAAATAATGAATATGTGTTAGATTTACTGCGCCTATTTATTTACAATGGTTATAAAACTAATAATTTTACTGTTTGTAATTTTGTAATAAATAAACAAAGTAAATTGATTTCTGAATATATGGTGTATGTATTCAATAAACAAACAATTTAATTAGTTCATATACGTCATTCGTAAAGGAGGCCTTAAAAACTTAATTAAACGCGATTGCAGACAAACTTGGTATCGGCCAATTAGAGCTTACCGTATTTGCAATGCGAAGCTAAGAAAGTGTCGGTAAAAGTGCTGATGTTCACAACCAACAAGGTAAATAAAGAAGGGAAACGCAAAAAGTGGCAGCGGATGAGTAAGGAATGTAAGCACTGGATTGCTACGGCGAGTATGTTGAGAAAAAAAGGCTATACTTTGGTACTTCATCCAGGATAAAATAAAAAGGAAGCTACCAAGACACCAAGTTCAGTGTGCAATCATTTTATCAGTTTCTCGATTAAAGAAACAATTTTAATAATCGAACTACGATCTTAAGACCAGCAGAGCGACCTAACTGCTGTAGCTATAACTCTAGGCATATGATACGACGCTCTTAGCAATGATATAACGCTATTTCATTTCATTTTACTACTTTTGTATATGTACTTTAATAACGACGAACGAATGATAAAGAAAGATGATTATGGATTAGACAGCAGTGTTTCCAATTTAGAAATTTATCCACCAAAAGACAACTGGACGCCAAGGCCGCTTGCAAAAAAAAAATAAACATACCTATAAAATGAAATTTGTAAGATTAAGGAGAATTTACTGGATATTCATGAACAACAAAACAAAATTTAGTTACAAATATATATATGAGCTGCTACATATCGCACGTTGAGAACGATAGTGACACAATGCAAAAAATGCGATTTTGAGTAATGAGCGTTTAAAGTTCAAGTAATTGTAATCAGCTCCTCTAAACGACGTATCGTCACTACGCCACCTAGCAGTTTCAATGCAAGCTACGTTCACAGGGATCTTTGCATTTTAAAGTTTATATTTAACAAAGAAACATGTTGCCAAAAGTAAAAAATACGTCTTTTTGCTTAGTGACATTGTCATTCTCAACGTGCGATATCTACCTAATATTGACTTACATTACAACTGCCGTTCAATCTATATTGGCATGAAGACAATACGATTAAAATTGATAGGCGTGAATACCACCAATAATGATGATTGGCATGTGCTGATGAGAAACTCCTGCCGTCGTTAAACATTTTGTTAAATTTTCATTAAATATGTACTCAGGCAGTAGGCGGCATGTTTTGTTATTTCATTATTCATATATAATGAAAGCAACAAAAATAAGTAGGTACACGGAACCATAAGAAATAAGAATGTAGACAACAATTCACGCTGGCATTTCTTAATTCAAACAAAATACTGAATCTAAGGTTGATCACGGTCATTGTTAAGGAAGCTCGATATCTGGAGCGGATGTACGGTTCAAGAAACTCGGTTCTAGTTATTTCAATGCAAATATTTCTACTACACATTAATGTCTATAATAGGGATGACTACTAATTTTTGTTTGTTTGTCCGTCAAGTAGTGTGTTAAAAAATATTAAACACTTATTTTTTTATTTCTTTCATAATCATAAAATTACGGCACGTTTTCTTTGGTACGTTTTCTACTAAACTGTGACGTAGCGAGCCCCCACTCCTTAACTTTAATGCCTGTTATCTAAGCTATTTCTTGTTAAATTGAAGTAAAAAAAATTACGTATCTAATATTTTTCTATTATCTGACTGACGGAATAATTAGAACTGCATTTTTTTTACCCAGTCGTCATCGTCGTCCTATTAAACAATAAATGCGACTATATATTTTTTTAATTTTGAATATATTGATTGTTAAATTATATTCATAAGGTATCCAAATCAGATTTATAAATGAGGAAGAATAACTGTCGAAGAGATCATACCGAATGAGAGCGTATAATGGTGTAACAAAATACCATTCCAGACACATTTAATTTTTTTCTTTCATTGGAAACTATTATATTAATTAAATATTTTAATAATTATGTGAAAATAGTACATAATCTAACATTTTCCGTTCTCAAGCTATTAACACCATTATAATAACATACCGGAGGTATTTAAAAAGACGACATATTTTGTCGTACGCTGTTTCTTTCGCTATCTCTTTTTATTCGGTCTCCATTACTTTATAGTTATTTTCGCAATAATACACATCATTATCGATTGCATTAGTTTGTTCCAAAAAACGGACGAAAGAAACGAGTCACGTTCTCTAAATAAATTACGACAGTCAATGTTTAAATGGATTGACAGTGTTTCTAACTAATTTATCATCTAGGCCAAGTAATGCCGAAATGAAAGAAGTAAAGACCCAAATTCAGAACAACTGTAGTGCTATTATGTTATAAAAACTGCTAGTGCTCCATAACTCTTGAGTCCTCTAAATATTTTTTGTTATGGGGGTAACAGAAAACATCATCTGTGGAAATTTCAACTGTCTAAGTACCAATCTTCATCAGACAGACGGATGGACAGCGAAGTTTCAGAATAAGGATCCTGTTTTACCTTTTGGTACGTAACCGTAAAAAAAGATAGTCACTATTAGCCCATAAAAAGTCAAAAACAATAATTAACATCCTTAATATATCTAAACCTATGAAATATCCACAAAAAGCTCGATCCGGGCCTTATTAACCACGAAGTAGTTGATGAAGTCGACGCCGAGAATAATCTAATTGGGCATTGTACGGTCAGTTTTGATAGCGGTTAATTACATTTTGGATGGATATTAGTTTTACTTGTCACTACTCCTATTATAAAATGTTGTAATCGTTCAATTATGACATTAAAAATTAGAAGTTACAAAAAGATATATGTAATTTCACAACATTTCGACTATTGGATGCAAAGCAATATTTTAAACTTGCACTAACATTCGTATCAATAGTCGAGTTAAAGTATTTACTTGAGTAATAAAGAATTCGAATGAAAACTATTATTATTAGCTATTAACTTTCTTATTTCACTCAAATTCTCGTCTATTGATTAAAAATATCTGTTTAAGTAATGTCATTTTCTCAAGTATTTCTTTTTTCACGACTAAAGACATGAGTGTAAGTATTAGGCCTGAATCCTCTCTCTTCAATGATTTTGTATACTTTTATATAAAGGTATTTTAGTTTGAGCCCATCACGCCCTCTTAAATAGCGCACATGCACGCTACTTAATAGTATGTGTACACAAAGGTCATTAACTTTCAACTGGCTTTGTCAAATTAAATAGCGTCCAAATAAACTCTTATTTAAAATAAGAAGACTACATAATATTTCTAAGTTTTGTCACAATCAAAACACCGATCGAAAGAGCGTAACTAAAAAGTCACAGCCAAAAAATCATAACCATTTACTTAGTGTAGGCTGTTACAAGCACTTGGG